TAGTAGAACCTCAACAAGCTATTTTAGAAATAACATTAAAGGTCTTTTATTTATTACGTGCTATCGTTTAATGAACTTTTTGATTAATAAAGTATTAATCTCACTTTTAGAGCAATCATCAACTGATGATCGGATCGATATCTGAAAACGGGGAATGGATAGCAGTATCTGACATTGAACGTATCAAGTTATTCAAAGTTCTTGAAGACGCAAGTATAATATTATAATAAGAAATGAGTTTTTTTTTTTTTTTTTTTTTTTTTTTTTTTTTTTTTTTTAAAAAAAAAAGACATATAAACAAATTATAAATTTACATCAGGTTAATGACCCAGGTCATTTAAGGGTACGTAAAATAAAAGATTTTCCACAAATAACTATAGACGGACGAAATGTTGGAGCTAATTTATTAGGGTTCACACAAGACGGAAGTAAACTTGTGGTAGCTTTTATGAATTCAGAAATAGTAATATTTGGACTTGATATTGAAGAAGGGGATGAAGTTGATGTCACAGTTTTAGAGCGATTTGACGAATATTCACAAAATCCCGACTGTGAACCATTGACTACCTTGACTATAAGTGATGATGATAAATGGTTAGCAACCGGTGACCTTTTGAATCGGATTAATGTGTATAATTTGGAAACTCTTGAGGTATTTGAACTTTAACATTTAAATATTTGGTTTAAAGATAGACTAATTAAATTAATAATCATAAAATTTTCGCCCAAATTTATAATAGCATCATATGACTATCGATAAATTTTCTTCTATTCACACATCATTAACATTTCATCCATTTAAACCGATACTTGTAATAACTTTAACGTCAAATCAATTTTATCTTTTTGATTTGCAAAAAAAGAAATTAACTGATTGGTCACAACAATATTCAGAAATGCTTCCACGAGATTTTCTTAACCTTAAAGATAAGATTATGGGATGTTCATTTAATCCTTCTTCTGACAGTATGATCCTATGGGGAGCTAATTATTTATGCTTGGTGGATTTTAATAAATGTAAAATAGAAGATACCGAAGAATTAATATGTATTAGATGTTCAGGATGGCAATCTAAACCGAAATTTTTAAATAAACCTATGCAAATAGAGCAATCAGATGAAAGACGACAAGAAGAAGTGGAGAAAATAGATGCGAATACGATAAATTTTCAATTAGTTACTAGATATCAAACATTAATGTATTTAAATTTTATAGAACATAATCAATTAGTCATAGTAGAAAGATCATTTACTTCTATTTTAGAGAATCTACCACCATCATTTTATAAAGCAAAATATGGTACATAAGAGCGAAAAGTATGATATTAACTAGTTTATTTTTATAATAAAATGCAAAAATCTCATCAAGTAGAAATTTCGTATTAAATAAAGTTGTGTTAGGGATAATATATTTATCAGGGTGTGGTTAATAAGGTAACGTCGGATCAGGAAAGTAATATTTACACAATGGTGGAGACCGAGGATGCGTTGATGGTTGCAATATACGTTTTATCTATCAATAAGTACAATTTAAAGAGCATGCTAAAGCTCTTTGATACATGGGGGCGCTTGCTGTACAGGTTTGTGTACCCCAATCAAGTTATATTACTAGAATTTGATTGAAATGATATCATTTTACTTTTTTTTTTAAAAAAATTGATAATCATACACATGATTGGGTATTATTTCATGAACAACGTGAATTATGTCCGACGGTTTTATGTAGTGTTACATGATCCTGACCTAAATTTCGGGAAATTTTTATTATAGTGAATTTTTGGGTTTAGATTTATTTGTACCCTAATTTGGGAAGTTATAATATAAAAAAAATTTCGAAGATTGAAATTTTGATTGGCTCAAAAAATATTTTGAAGTTATCAATCAATTGGTAGTACTTTTTTATTGAACGAAACGATACACAACTTCCCTGTGTATATTCTATCTTTTAAGTTTAAAATTGTTAAATTAAGTAACATTATATTCTTTAAATATCAATTACAATGAGTTTGCTGCAGGTTTTTTTTTTATTTTTTTTTTGTGAGATTTGTGAAATTTGACTATTAAAAAAAATAATATTTTTTTTTTTTTCTCCACCTTTTTTTATTTCCTTTTTTTCTTCCTTTTTTCCACTTTATTTATTTATTTATTTTCCTTTTCTTTTCTCGGTATAAAACTTAAGTACCCGACAAAATTCTATTACCCTTTACAAATTAAAATAGTTTATCGATGTGTAGAATTATTGTAGGAGATTCTAATTTCAAATAATCATACTTCTTTTTACTCCCCGAACATTCCAATTCTAAATTTCATAGAAAAATAAAAAGGGGAGCGATGTCTTTTACAAGGAAACACACACCAAAATCTTCGCAGGGGAGCATTTCAAGCGAAGGTGATATATTTTTCGAAGCCACAACAGAAGTTATTAATGAAGTTGAAGAATTAACTTTCAACAACAACAACAACAACAACGACGAAAGTGGTGGCGACAGTAGTAACATCAGCAGTAACATCAGCAGTAACATTAACAGTAACAGAAACAGTAATATCAGCAGCAACAACAACAACAATAGGAACAGTAATAATTATTTTCATGCATTAAAAACCAAAAATAGTGAAATATGGCAATATTATAGGAATAATAATAGTAGCAGTAAAATACTTCGTCATTATCCTTCGTCATCAATAGATTCAATGATTTCGACGGTGCCAAAGTCGTCATCGATCTATATGACACCACAAAGTTCAACGAGTAATTTATTGATTAGCGCGATGAGACAAGCTGTAATTAGCCAAAGTAATAATCAAACGGAGATCGACTTGGCCACTACTTCTCCCACTAATACGCCATTTTATACTACCCCTTCTACCCCTAATAGACGCACAGTGGATTATAGTTATCGTGATGATCGTGATAATAATAATAATGATAAAAGTGATAAAAGTGATATTAATGAGGATATCGATAATAATGATAAAAGCGATCATAAAAATAATAGCGATAATAATGATAATAGGAATAGTAAGAATAGAAATGATGATGATGTTGACGATAACGACAACAACAGAATTAATAATGGCATTTTGAATATTAATAAAAATAATAATTCGAATCCAAATATTGAAAGTTCATCAACCATTGTGGCGGCTAAAATAAGAGAATTTGAATCATTAATTAAAAAAATTTCTCCATCGAATTTAAATACCACAATAGATTCTGATGTTGATAAGGTAGGATCATCGTCGTCACAGAAAAAATATAACCATACCGTTGAGCCTTCTTCAGGATCAAATACATATGTGGCTGATTCTTATGATCATATTGAATTAGAAAATAATACAAATCATTCGAATTATTTAAAGGAAGAAGAAGAATATCAAGAAGAATGTGAAAATAAGAGTTCAAAAAAAGATATTACAAAGTTCAGACCTTTTGATAATAACAATAAAAAAAAAATGACAAATGAAGAATTGTCAATAAATATTGATCTCAAGCCCGAAAAAAGGGCCATAAATAATAATGTAATAAAGGGTTACGATAAATCATATCATCATAGAAATAATTCTTCTAAAGAGATTATTATTATTGAAGATGATGAAAATATTCTAAAAAATTCAAAGAGAAATTCAAAATTATCATTTATAATAACAAGTGATGGGGATGATAGCGATATTATTTCTTCAAAAAGTGAAAGTATAGATAATGTAGATTCTTTAATATCACAGAAACATATATCAATAACAAAAGATATTGTTACAGAATTTTCTTCAATTGCTTCTTTTAAAGGAAATTCTAGAGAATCTATTAAAATAGAAAGGAAAGATAAAATCATACAACTTAAAAAAAAAGATAAAATTCTTTGGTTAATTGGAAGTTGTTTAATTTTTTTTACTATCATACTTGATATTAATTTGGTTGCAAATCAATTACCTAACATTATACAAGAATTTAAAGCAGGTGAAAATATTTTATGGATAATAATTAGTTATAATTTAACAAATGTAAGTTGATTTTATTTTTAATTAATATATTAATATATATTATTAATTCTTATATTTATTTTTTTTCTTTTTATAAAGACAATATTACAACCATTATGTAAACAATTATCAAATATATTTAAAAAAAAATTAATAATTTTATCATCAATTTTAATATTTGGTATAAGTTCAATATTATGTGGTTTAGCACAAAATATTCAATGGTTTATTATAAGTAGAACATTTATGGGATTAGGAAGTAGTATAACAACATCTATGATATTTATTATTTTATCAGAAATTACATCAATTCAACAAAAAAAAATTTATAATAATATTATAAATGGAATATTTGCTTTAGCATTTGTATCTGGATCATTAATAGGTGGATTATTTGTAGATTATATTTCATGGAGATGGTCATTTTACATTAATGGTTTAATATCATTAATAAGTATAATAATATTATCAATTTCATTGAAAAAAATCAACAAATCTTCTGAAAATATTTTGATAAAATTAAAAAAGATTGATTGGTTAGGGATTTTTTTATTGATAATAGGATTATTATTAATACTTTTTGGATTAAATTATGGTGGAAATAAACTTGTTTGGAATAGTATAACAATTTTTATAATATTTGGTATTGGATTTATTATAATAATGTCATTTGGATTAATTGAAAAAAATTTTGTTAAAGAACCTTTAATACCAACATTTATGTTTAAAAATTCTTCAATTCGAGCTATATTTGGATGTTTTTATTTTATAGGATGGATACAAATGGTTGTAACTTATTATATTCCAATATATTTTCAATACGTTCATTTATTAACTGCTACACAATCTGGTATATTATTATTATCTTTAATGTTAAGTATTATAATATTTTCTATTATAAGTAAAATATTAATAATTAAAATGGGACAATATAGATCAATCATATTTCTGGGATCAATCTTATTAATAATAGGTAGTTCATTATTATCAATGTTTAATTTAACTACTGGATTATTCTTACATATTATATCATTAATAATAATTGGATGCGGTATTGGATTTCAATTTATTTTATTAAAACCTACTTTATATCTTGTAAAGAAGAGTGAAAAATCTATTATTATTGGACTTTGTAATTTTTTTAAAGGTTGTGGATCAATTTTTGGTATATCAATTTCAACAGCATTATTTAATAATAATTTATTATCAGATATGAAAGATATAAAAAATTATCCCATAAAGGATAATTCAATTAATAATATCTTATTAATTTCAAATATTCAACAATTAGATGATGAACAACAAAAAATCATATTAAATAGTATTAATAATGCAATTATAACAAATTATAAACTTTGTATATTTATATCTGTAGTAAGTTTAATTTTTGCTACTTTTATAAAACATTACCAATTGAAGATAAAGAAAGGTAATGATGTAGTTATAGATGATAATAGTAGTAATAAATTATTAAATGAAAAAATATAATCTTAGATCAAATGTTTTATTATTTATTATTATTATTATTTGTATTTATTTTATTTATTTACAAAAAAAAAAAGTGGGTGTATTATTTAATAAACGAAAAAAAAACTAAAAATTTAAAATTGTATATTTACTTTAATGTTGCAATGATCACGTGTTTTTTTATTATCTTTTTAAAAGCCAATCGGTTGAAATATATAAATATATATTTTTCAATTACGAGATTTTTTTTTTTACGGTCGTTTGAACGCCCTTACATAAATTATGAATTTACTACCAACTTTAAGTATCGTGCGTTTGATACGTACCTATCATTTCTTCCCACCACCCATAATGTTCAACATTATCATCCGAATTATCCGAGTCCAAATCACTTAATCTTGAAGCATTTATACCGTTATGTTTTTTACTTTGCCTCACAAAATTATAAAATGCGCGCTCATAACGAAAATAGTTACCAGCCAAAATATATTCTCTGACTTTTTCAGCTAACTTACCCAATTTACCACCCATAGGTTCGTTATAACTTAAACAAGCACTTAATATTTTATAACATTGATGTTCCCACAATGAATTAACCACCTTTCTTTGTGTATAAAATAAATATTCTCTAAACCATTCTCCTCTATTTTGTAATAACTCCTTAACTTTAACTTTTTGTCGATTATCAAAATATCTGCAAAAAAAAGAGAAGAAAAGAAAATAGGTTAATGTATTATCAAAAATGAGTAAGATTTCATTTGATATACTTAACTCTAACCATACAAAACTTTCTATTGTTTTATATAAATAATTAGGATTGTCGTCTCCATGTTCAATACGCTGAAACAGTAATTCACATATATTATAATATGCATCAACTAAAATCTCGCGTTCTTCCTCAATTGTATTTTCTATTTATTTATTAAAAGTGAGTTCATGGATAAATTACATAAAACAAGAAAGAATAACATCTTTTTCTACTTACTTATTACTTGCGTGTAATGTTCGATTAATGGATTAAGCACTTTTTCAGGTGGACTAACTGGGTCAATCCGATGATATGCTTGTCCTACTTCAACCCATTTCGAATCAAAGCTTTTATATGTGTGCAAGACTTCAAATAAAAGCCTTTTATATAATTATCATTAATGATGAGATTTAAATTATTTTTTTTAAAAAAAAAAAAATTGTAAGCTTTCGAATGTTAACTTTTTGATGTACCTGTGTCCTGTCAAGACTGATGGGTTGTTATCGCAGAAATTTTGTATGACTGTAATAGCTTCTTCGATTTCTTCATTATGCAAAAGTAACTAATTAATAAAAGGTACGTTAATTATAATTACTATAATTAAGTACCTCATTCATGTAAAAGCACGTTACCTTAACAGAATAAATTAAAAACATATCATTCGACATATCCAGATCCAGAGATCTCTTAAAATTGCTTAAACTCATTTCATAATAACGTTTTCGTCGATCCATAAATTGTTCATCTAATACAAAATTCAAATTAAAAAAAAATATATATAATATATGTATTTTGTTCCCAGTCGAATTTTCAATCATTACTTACCAATCTCAGGAATTTCTATTTCTTCTTTATAATCATTTCTATTTCGTTTTAATTTTTCTCGTGGTGGTATATGCTTTTTTGAAGAATTTTTACGCTTTGGTGGCTTATAGATTTCAGGCTTAGGTTCATTTTCTTTAATCATAGTATTCAATTGTTCCCATAATGAATATGCAAGTAATCCTGTATACCCATGCAGAACTGGATTATTACAATATGGTTCCATTGGTAAATACCTATATTAAAATTTTTGATTGAAAATATTAAAAAAGGTATTATGAAGGGGACCCTATTAAGAGAAGTTGTCAAAGTTGAATACGTTTCGGCAGTAGCGAGAGCATCAGTGGCGTTTCCATATTTCATTTGATAAAAAACTAATTCCATTATAATTCTTTGTTTATCCAATATGAATTTTGCACTCTAGCAAAAAGTTATTAAAAAGATTTTAAGTTTGCAACGAATTGAATAACAATAGATCAAGTTTAAAATTGATAATTAACTTACCAAAGCATGATTTTTTAATAATAATATATTAAAGAATTCAATAAAAGTTGTTGATGTAGGATCTAAAGTGAATAACACCTTAATGGCCGGCTTTTATTAAAGAGTATATACATACATACAATATTATTATTTTAAAAATTCATAATTTTTTTTTTTTTAAAAAAAAAAGAAGGCTAATAAAACCTGCCAAATTCTAGATAGATCACAATCGGGACATTGTAATAAAACTTCAAGAATTTCACTAGCACGACAATAATTATGTTCATAAAGAGATTTTTGTAATAATTCATATAAATTTGTTACATGGAAATTACGAAGTCCTAACACTACTCTTCCTTTCTTCCAATTTCCTTTAGTTTTTTCAAATACATAAATTTCTGCCATTTTTTTTTTTTTTTTTGTTTTGAAGCACCCGAGACTTATATAAGATTCTAATTGGCTGAAATTAATTTAGGCAGAATATTGAGCTCTGGCCAACTTTTCACTAATGTAAGTTGATTTTACTGGGAACGTTCCCCATATTTTTATCAGACCTTTTAAGCAAGACGAAATAAACAAGACACTTCTACCAAATGGCATTTTTTCCTCATTTGATTTTATCTCGGATTTTATCTATTGTGGTCTGGAAAGAGGTTGTATAAATAAACTACCTTGGATTGTAAAGGGAAATCTTTTCATCTTTACATCAAGTAATTTTGATAATTCAATCAAATGATCTTTATAAACGAACATATGGAATTAAAACGCGTAAAAACTTTATGTCGATGATCAAGATGAGGATTTGGTTGAACGAATTACCGGATTGTAAGACTTTAAAATAGAGAATTCGTATAGTGCTGGAAAAATAGATGCTTACGCATAATTTAGAAAAACACATAATCGCATAATCCGCAGTAAATTTCTTAATTTTAATTGGCCATTAAGGTATGGTGATGCAAATAAATGCACATGACTTTGCATGACATAAAGTACTATAGTCAAAAATATTTTGTGATAGTAACAAAAATAAATTACGCATTATAATTTTGGCTAAAATTAAATGAATTCGGGTAGAATTATTAATTTAAAAAGATTTTTATAATTATTTCACTGAAAAACTTTATTATTATAGAATAGAAAAAACACAGAGTATTTTTTTCTAATCTATAATTTCATGATTTTGTATAACTCTTTTATATATATATATATATATATTTTTAGTCCCTCAAGAAATCCCGATTAAAAGATCATTAAAACAATTGTAAGAAATACTCTTTTTTAGTTAGATATACATATTAGAAAAAATAATACTTCTGATTTTATATTCTTCACTTTAGTAATTCCTCTTACTAGAGTATCTAATCTTCTAATCCTAATACCTAATACAATGAATAACATCCACCCTACCTCCTAGTATATTAAGATTATTTAAATAATAAATTTTAGTATTTGTGTCAAAAATCCCTTCCTGATCACATAAGTATTAATTTACTAATTTTTAAATTTTCAATATTTTATTCTATTGACTTGCAAATCAAAATTTGCAAAAAAAATTATTTTTCACCCCTTACCTTAAATTAGAAAATGAATCTTTTATCTGTATTTTGCATAATAGATCATAAAATATCTATTTATTAAAAAAATTTATCTCAAATATTACAGGTTTTTATATTTTGATGATTTTAGAAAGATGGTATCAAGATACTTATCAGTGGAAATAACATAATTATGTTATTTTCACTTAGTCTAGGTTATTCTCAACGGTGGCCAACTTTTGTCGTCAGATCACATGATGACAGTGATCTAATTTTGTCGTCAAGCCGATTTTCGTCGCTAGGCCATATGGGCAAAAAAATATATTTGACGCATTTAAGTGATTTGAGGAATGAGAAATACAAGTCATTTGAATGACAAAGATCATCATTCGCCTGAAGTTTTGTGTTATATTTATTTATCACGTTTAAATTTAAAATTATAGCAAAATAGAAATCTAAAAACAAATCTTATTCTTATATAGCATATGCTTTAAAAAGAAATCATAAAAAATTTTCTAATATTATAAAAAGATCTCTTATCAGAACTATTCTAAGGGTATTCAGCTAACTTGTAAGGGTAATTAGCTAATTCCCCCTGGTCATCATAATAAGAGTACGAAATATTATAATAACGAAGAAGAACACCTAATGCTAATACTTCATTCACACTCCAGTCTCACGCATCAATTTCAATATCCTTGTCGTGACTGTGCAATTTTTTTGATGCAGTGTGATAGAGACCACCCATACATCTTTCGACATCTTTGTATTGAGAATTATTAAATAAGCATGTTTGCTTTAAATATGATATAAACTTTGCATCTTGTGTTAGCCTCGTCAAAACATTGTCTGTAGATTCGCGAAATGAGATAATTTTGTCCTATGACCGAATCTATCGAGAGAAAAAATATGTAAACAAAATATGATAAAAATCATTGCAAATACATAAACAAATATGCAGAATGTTACCGTTGATCTAATAAACTCTAAAGCACCTCTCACATTACATATCCCTTTTGATCGTAAAAGAAGTTCAGTGCAGTGTTTGACAATATTCTCAAGATTCGTAATATGTTTTGATAGTTCCACTTTTTCCTACATTAAATCCAATTTTTCACGTCCTTTTTTTTCCATTAAATTTTCCATTAAATCCACTTTTTCCTGCATTAAATCCTTCATTAAAACTACAGTGAAATTCATGATTTTCGATACAACTTTTGAATCTTTAGGTAATTCAGCAAGAATTGGTAAAAAGTCATACTTGTGATTATTAATGAGAAAGTATGATAATCTATGTTGTGGCCACAAGAGACGATAGAACTGCATCTAATAAATAACATTTTAAGTATAAAATAGAAAATATATAAGATGTCTCATTTACTTACCAGAGGCCTTAGCAATCTTAAGCGTGAAATCATTTATGAGAAATTTTTTATTTGTATAGAAATTTGGTCAAAGATCAATGGTGCGAATAGTGGTATACTCCTTTATATTCTATCAATGACATATTGTATACTTGGCCATGTGATTTAGGTTATGATGATTTTCTCACGATTACCTCATCGGGATTTAAACTTTTTAAATTTTTAAATTCGTTAACGAATTACTGTATAATGACCTACAGATGTATTGCGCATTCGCGAATTTAGCCAGACACGAGGTCGAATCATATATCGATAATTATGTGTCATGATCTAGCCTTATCGTGAGTTTGACGGGTCGAATGCGTTTTATATGTCATTTGATATTGTATGCTAGCTTAACAATCCTAGCCACAATAATATAGCTGAGATAGGTTATGACAATCTAGCCAGCTTTCTTTGTGTTCTTTTTAGAAGGTCAAATTTATTAGTATTTGTTGTGTACTAAATAGAGATCAGAGGAGACAAAAAATATACCAATAATAAGTTCAATCATATGTCATCATTTGTGAAAGCAAATAACCAAAGCATATGCTATCTAGTTCATTATATACATGCTATCGAGTATATGCTATCTGGTTATACTATCGATTAATGCTACCAAATATGTATTCTAAAGTATATCATGTAAATGCTATCGATAATGCTATCATGTATATGCTATCAGAAAAGTGTTATCCAGTTATGCTATCGAAAATGCTATTAAAACGTAATCGCTTATGTTTACCATTCTAGAATGCGCTTAAAATGGATCTGCTCACGTCCTAATAAAAACTCTGTCCTGGTTTCATCCTAGTAAAAAAAATGTTAACTGGAATGGATTTGATATAGAAGAAAGATTTAAAATCCATCTTTATTTTGTTCTTTTATATTTATTATATATTCGTTCTAGTTGTTCTAGTAAAAAGTAATAATTTAGAAAAAATAAACCTATCTACCCATAATACAATTATACTATACATATAATATATACATGATATATATATACAATATATATTATGTATACCTATAGATAAAAAAAGGTAAGATCAAAATTTTGCTAGTACAACTAGAACAACTAGGACAAGTATTCTAAAATTCTTTCGTTTAGCTTAAAATTGTCAGCAGGTATATTTTTTCTGTTCTACCTCACGTCTTAGAAAAAATTTGTTCTAGTTAAAACATTAAAAAATATAGGTATCCTCATACTACGCATACGTATATTAATTTTCTTTTATCTCAGATGATGCAGAGTATCAAATCTCTAATTTTCCATCTTGCGCCATCTTTTTTAGCTTTTTTTAGTAATAATATTTCATATTTTCAATGCTTACCTGCATGTTTCTCGTACATACCATATGTAGAAAAAGTAATTTTACTACACTCTTTACAAGGTATACATTGGAGGATTTCCAATAGTAGTCACATCCTTTAAGGTGATAACTACTTCTTTCCAGTTCTGAAAATATATTCACAATGATAAAATGCCATATATTTTAAGCGTTATCTTTTTAGTATAATATTTTATCTTGTAATATATTGGGATTTCACACTATTTATTGTAAAAAATTAATTTTTATTTTGAACTTTTTTGTACAGATAATATAAATTTACAAAAAAATATTTAATATTATTATACTTATCATAGATACCTAAAATTTTCAAGAAAATATCGATCACATACCAGCTGAATCAGAAGTACCATCTTCTTAACTAGAGAGCCTAAAAAACTTAAAAATTTTGAGCTAAAAATAGAAAGAAAATAATAAAGCCTTCTACTACTAGAGGGTCAAAGCTAAGAGTGTAGCTGAATATCTATACAAAATCCATGATGATAGTGTATATTCAAGACAATTCCTTAACACAGATTCTGAGAATAGAATAGAGGCAATACTTAGTAAATAGCAAAAACATTTATTACACAAATTTATTGATAGGGATGATCCACTTCATCCCATTATAAATTTTGATTTATCTAGAGAAAAATTTGATAAAATTAAACCTAAGCTTAAGCTTACAGCTAAAGAAATATGAGATTTACTTTATCATGTCTTTAAAGAAATGTGTCTAGAAATATATCCAAGTTGGAATCGTAAAATATTAACTATTGCCAGTAGTAGTGATGAAAAAATAATATCTTTTCATATATTAACTTTTGGTCGCTGACTCAAAAATATTGTTAAAGTTGTAATATTTACTAAACTTATTTGCAAAAAACTTCCAATAAATTTATAAGAAAAAGATATTGTCAATAATATTATAAATAAATGTTTATTCTCTTTGCAAATTCTCAGAATTTTAAAATTTATTAAAGATACTAATGAACATATCTAAGTAAAGAAAGCAATTTTCTCAAAAAATAGTTCTGTTTTTGATTTTATACTTTGCTTACCTAATAACAAGACGCCAGTTATAAATAATCCTATTTTAGATGTTCTACAGTAGCGGTCATAAGTATCCGACCGCCTCTAACTCCGGCTACAAGTAAGTAAATTCAAAATTTTTTTTTTTATT